AAATAATTATTAAGAAAATAAAAATAATTACCAATTAAAGGAATTTTAAAAATACATATAATAAAAAAAAAAAACCTTTTCAAGTGTCATTCTAACACTATCCAGCGTATCATGTATTGTGATATTATGTGTGACATTTTTTATATCACTGTTATTGCTCCGTGTTACGATTAGTTGTACATTAGGAGCTAACCCTGCTTCTCTGCAAAAAAACATAAAAAAAATTGTATATATCAATATCTTAAATAATTTTTAAATTTTAAAATCACATCATCTCTTACTCAATGCTTCCTTTGAAGTCAGCTATTTCAACAATATTGTCATCCATATAAATCTTTGTAGATTGAGAGCTCGACAATGAAATTCCTCCTAATACAAAAATGGTTTTTTTAAAAATCAAGATACATAATTTTTGAGATTTTTTATTTTAATAAAAAATAAAAAAAATTATAAATTTCATTGTATACTTACCTCTATTGTCCTTGACGATCATAGATGTGAATATAACGACTTCCACATTTGAGTAATTAGAAAATCTAATTTGCTCAAATTGATTTATCATGGAAGACCAAAGTGTTACATTCAAACGGTTTTTCCTTCAATAAAATAAAAACAATATCAAACAATTATCTATAATTAATTGATCAAGTATTATATTTTATTCAATTAAAGAGAAATGAAATTTAAATAGATTTCATGTAATTATTTAAATATGAATTACCTTTGATCTTCAATATGTAATTCCATGCAAGTAACATTACTACCATTTGCTTGCCTTTCTTGTGGAGTTCCAACACCAACTAAAACTCCAATAACATCTAAATTTGTAATAAAAGCATTTTAAATAAAAATAAATCACATATTCATTTAATAAAATTATATTAAAATAAAAAAAAATACCACAAAGGCATTTGTTCCTTTTCTCGAGAAGCTTCTCATAATCCGTGAGTTCAAATACAAATCTCGGAATCTCTGCAACTTCTTCGATTATTTCTTTGACAGTAGTATCAAGGTGAAATTGAATCTTGTAGTTGTTATGAGAGACAACACGATAAGTATCCTTATTCTTTTCGACGGAAAATTTTTTCACATAATAAACATTTCCTTCCACCAACTTATTCTTAAATCGTAGAATATTGGAACTCCAAATGATAGCATGAATAAAATTTTTCTGCAATCAAATAATTATTGTTAATAAAATTCGCTAAATACATAAAAGAATAAATGTAATAACTTATAAAATTACCTTCTTATCAGCGAAAACCATTTCAGTAGTCAGATGGTCCCTATCACGTTTTAAACTAAAAACATCCCACAATCTGCATATTCGTACTTTAATCTTCCTATCTTCTTTATTGGGTGAAAGTTGATCAAGAAATACATATTCCAGATCTCTTGCAATCGATTTACCTCTATATAACAAAATATTTTGAAATTAGAGAGAAAATGTAACATAATTAGAGAAAAAAGAAATTGGTGCTTAAAATCAAATACCTATTCATATTGAGAAAATGCAATCCAAGCAACTATAACTCTAAACATGAAGAATAGAAGGAAAACTGGAGGATGGCCAAATCCCAATCATGAAAACATTTGAAAGGATCAGATTTTTCGTCTTTGGTAAAGATGGTTTAGTTGTGGTATTGGTAAATTATTTTCAGTTATTTTTTATTAATAAATTTATTGCTTATCATAACAATCATAATTTATTACTTATCCTATAGCCATGAATTCTGAAAAAATAACTGTTAAGAAGATGTAACAACATCTATCATAACAATCATTTTATTACTTATCTTGCAGCAATAAATTTAGAAAAAATAACTGTTCATAAAGAAATAATTGTCCAAGAAGATGTAAGAACATCCTAAGAGGAAAGATGGAGAGTTTGAAGATCATTGGGCTGCACGCCCGGTCAAAGGTGAATATAAAATGCTTACCCTATTTAATGCATAGGGTAGCATTTTATATATATATATATAGATAATTTAAAATTATATTTCCAAATACCCTAACTAGTTATAGACCGATAAAATTAGATCAATCAAACACAGTCAAAGTATATATATGTGTGGCCT